TCAGCAACAAAATTTTATTGTAAAGACGATGAGGGGACGAAGCAAGCAACCTGGCTTGTAGGAGCGCCCTTCTTCGCTTTCTTTATTTAACTATTTTAAAAGGGTTTGCAGCTGCAGGATAAATTGGAGCAAAAATTGTTGACCTTTTATAGGATAGTTTTATTTGCGTTAGAGGCTGCTTTGCAGAGTCTACCTTATGCTGAGGCAAAGTGTAACATGGTTGTGGGTTTTTTCCAGAGTTCAGCTGCAGAAGAAAGGATGTGCTGCAGCAATGCTGCGATAAGCTAATCCATCCTTCCTTGGAGGACAGTCTGTGAAATGCAAGCCCCCTTTTCTTAGATGAAAGCGAAGGGCAGTGGAAGCAGGAAGAGAGGGCGCTTCAGATAAAACTACCTGAGTCTGCTAACGCACAGCAGTCAGGGGCAATTAAGAAATCTCTCTTAAATTGGATGACCTTGAAGGGGACACACACACACACACACCCATGCTTGGTTGACTTGGTCACATTTCTGGATTCTGCTTTGAGTGCAGGACGGTTGTTTACAAGCTTAATTTTAGCTGGAGGGGAAAAAAGCCTGGTAGTTTATCCACACAAGGTGAAGTCGCATGCCAGCATTAACTAGTGTGGCATGACACCAGCTGATCGTTTGGCTTATGTAGGTCAGAGTTGTAGGAGAAAATAAGTTCACCTTGGCAGCCTGTGTTAAATCCCGTAAACTCTGGCGCTTCCTTGTTTTCTGAGTTCACACTTCCGTTTCTATTTCAGATGGCTCTGCTACCATTTGTGGGCTTATTTGACTGGACTGATTAAAAAGCCACACGCAAGAAATTGTTCTGCAGCCACTGGGTGTTTCTCCTCTCACCTGACTTATGTCTTGTTTCGGACACAGCAGGCGAAAGCTCTTGTTTTCCAAAAACAAGAACTGGGTTCGAAGGAACTTGGATTTGAGGAACTTTGGGCAATACTACAAGCTCTGCATTTTTTTTTTTCCTTTGATCAGAGCCGCTGTTGAAAATGCACACGGAGTTGCTTTTAGCCAGTTCAGCGCCTGTCATCTCTGCCGAAAAGAAATCTTTAGTTTTGTCTCCAGGGCATGTGTAGATGAAAGCTTCAGAAAAGTTTAAGATCTACATTCGTATCTGTGACCATTTTATGGGTTCTTCAGCTGATTTACAGTTGATTATGCCTCCCCTTTGTCAAGTGGTGCTTTTTAATCCAATTTCCTGCATTTGCTATAGGATTGATTAAAAAGGAAGAACAGGATGAATACAGGGAATATCCATGATGCCTCTCCAGATATTTTCTCTACCCAGCCCTTCTAGAGCCTTTGGCAGATTCAGTTTGTTCTCTGTGACTCGCAGGTTAATAAAAAGCCAAGCCCCCTCCCTGCTAGAGTGGAGAATACATTGTGCCCACCTCAGGGATATGTCTAACCTCACTCTTTCTTTCTTTTTTTGTGTTCAGAATCTTGGGCAGCCCTTAAAGAATTGGAAGAATTGACAAATGTCTTCTCAAATAGAAACCTATTGCCCATGGCTCTCTTTGGGCTTCCTGGGCAACTGTGTGGCAGTTTGAAACCATTGACAACTCTGTGTCTAATATACATGATGTGTGTGTGTGTGTGTGTGAGAGAGAGAGAGAGAGAGAGAGAGAGAGAGAGAGAGAGAGAGAGAGAACATGAACATGCCTGGTGTGTTTGCATTTCTACTTCTTTATGCACTTAGTTTACTTTCCAACAAAAACAGAATATTGCTTGAGGTCGCTTCAAGTACCATATACATTTAGCTTGTTAAATGAAATTATGATAATGAGAAGTTGTTGTTTGATCAGCCTCCAGTCTTAGGTGATACATTAATATTGCCGCTGGAGCTGTGTTGGATCCAAGAGCTGAAGTTGGCTTTCCCTGTTTGCATCCAGGTTTTTGCATCCTTATGGCAGAATCTGAATGGAAATGAAGGTCTATGAGACAGCAACATTGTTGGCCCTCAAAAGGATCTTGGGAGCAAGACCGAGTGCTAGAGAAGCAAAACTTTGCAAATAAACTTGGTTTTTTTTTTAATCCAAACCATTGTAAGATATTTTAGTATATTTGGAGGATGAGAAACAAATCGGTATTCTTTTTTGTAAAGATCAGTATCCCTGAACAGTGATTGAAACATCCTTCAGTCAAATGAAAATTGGGTGGCATTTTTGTGCAGGGTGACAAACAGGGGTTTATGTTGGCACTTCCTATCACCTGCCAGTTGGCTGGGAGAGAAAAGCAGATTTTTTTTTTTTTTTTTTTTTTTGCCCTTCAGCGTTGGTCATCTGCAATTGCTGCTTCAGGAGCTTGTCCTGGGGACTACGTAACCCCACAGCCATTGAAAGCCCCTCTTCCTGGTGATGATGTAGACATTTGCAGGTGGCAGATTCTGTCTTGGGGGAGGCCTTGCCTGTCTTTCTCACACAGATGTTTGTCCTTCTGTGTCACAAATACATTGTCTCAAAACAAAGGAAGTTGTCTTGCTACGTTTGTGTCAGTAGGAGCAACTGCCCAACCCACGGGACAGCCTTAGAGTTTACGTGGTGGAGCAGTCCTGTTGCCCCAGCCCACTTTTCCCTTTCCTCTTGAAAATCAGGGGCAGGCAAATATTCCAGGAAGGGAGGGTAGTTTAGGCTTGGTTTTTCTGCAGGTTGCGGCATGAGAGCTTTTCCGCTGTGGGGAAAGCTTGGTAGATCCCAACTCTGCACCCTTTGAACTGGAATCTGTGCCAGGAGCTCCTTTTGGGACAGTCGGCACGAACTGGGGGTTCAGACTCGTTTGGCTAAGAGCACTGATCACCTGGCGCAAACTCTTTCTCACCTGACCTAGGACAGCGCCAAGAAGCGTTCTGTAACCATGGTGTATTGGGGGTTTCTTAAGTCTCTTCTTATTTGCCATAAATGCTTTTCTATTGTTGGCAAATACTTCCTTTTCCACTGGCACCGTCACTTCTTCACCTGCACGTCTGAAGGCAACTTCTGCTCGTGTGTTGCCCAGAGGCGCTAATGAAAGCCGTTCCAGTTCTCTAGTGGGAGAAGTCCTTAGTCTTTGTACATACAGGCGCCTCAGGTGTGCAAGACATCCTGTGCAAATTCTCTATACGACCCTGCCTTTTCTGCCAACTTAACGTGTCTCTCCAAGCTGTCAGGTGCTAACAAAAGTTTTGTTTTAAAGTTTGAACGTGTGCAGTGAGTTTGAGACAAGTTGTAAACGTGGTGCTTTTATTTTCAGCTCGGTTCCTTTTCCCACGCTTTATTGAGGCTTTTGTTTTCCACTTCCACACAACTTTGTTTTTCCCTTCCTTACTGAACCTTTCTAGAGGTAGTCCTCGACTTACGACCACACTTGAGGCCAACAAGTTCTGTCGCTAAGTGAAACATTTGTTCAGGGAGTTTTGCCCCGTTTTGCTACCTTCCCTGCCCCAGTTGTTAAGGGAATCACTGCAGGTTCTAAGTTAGACGCATGGCTGTTCAGTGAATCTGGCTCCCTCGCTGACTTCGCTTGTCAGGAGTTCGCAAGCGGGAATCGCGTGACACCGCAACCGTCATAAATATGAGTCCGTTCCCAAGTGTCTGAATTTTGATCACGTGACCATGGGGATGCTGCAACAGTCGTAAGTGAAAAACGACCACAAGTCACTTTTTCCAACCCCGTTGTAATTTGGAACGGTCGCTAAATAAGCTGTTGTAAGTCGAGGACTATCTGTAGCACCTTCTATAAATCGGCGCTCCACAGCCAAGTGCTTTTTGGTTGTCGTGGATTACAGCTCTCAGAACCCTGATCAGGAATTACGTGACTGCATTCCGGAATATCTGGGAGGGGCCAAGTTGGGAAAAGCCAATTAAGATTTGCAAATAATAAGTTGTTTACTGTGGTTTTGCAACCTGTACTTTTCTTAGTTTCTTGGTAGAAGGCAAAACACTCTCTGAAGAAGAAGAAGAAAATAATCCGTGTAATTTTTCAGGCTTCCTGTCTTACTACTGATAAGCTGAAACTGAAGATTTAATTAACTTCCCTGTTGTCAGCATAAGGGCATTTACATTACACCAATGTACCGGATGGCGTTTTGTTCAGCTTCTTTGGGGATTTTGCAAGCTTTCAGTGAGGCTGAGTTCTTTGCGTGGGGGTTGAGTTATTTTTATGAACACGGCCACCTGTCGTGATCCAGGCCTCATAGGTCTCTGGTGCAAAACTGTTTATTAGGTGTCGCTGGCTGTTTCGGTTAATCAGAATTCCCGGCTTCTGGTCTACATTCTTTAGATATTAGATGCTTAAAATGTGAGCCATGGTGGCACAGTGGTTAGAATGCAGTACTGCAAGCTACTTCTGCTGACTGCGGCTCAAGGTCGACTCAGACTTCCATCTTTCCGAGGTCGGTAAAATGAGGACCCAGATTGTTGAGGGCAAGAGGCTGACTCTGTAAACCGCTTAGAGAGGGCTGTAAAAGCACTGTGAAGCGGTATAGAAGTCTAAATGCTATTGTGATAGATGGATGGATGCATGGATGCATGCTGTGATGGTGAAGTGGTTAGAATGCAGTATTGCAGGCTAACTCTGCCCACTGCCAGCAGTTCGATTCTCACTGGCTCAAGGTTGATTCAGCCTTCCATCCTTCTGAGGTCGGTAAAATGAGGACTCATATTGTTGTGGGGGGGGGGGTGCATTAGGCTGACTGTAAACAGCTTAGAGAGGGCTGTCAAGCACTGTGAAGCGGCATATGAATCTCAGTGCTGTTGCTATTGCTATTAAAATGGAAGATGTATTCCCCTTCACTGAAGAGTTAAAAAGAAATTTCGGATGATGATTTGCCCTAAATCCTTTCCCACTTGTACCCCACCCCTTTGTGCTTCTTTGAAGATGACATATTGCAATATATGGGGCAGGAGAGTAAGCCGATCTTCTTGTTTGCTCTTGCTTGTTTCTTCGGAGCCTCTGCATAACTGTTCCTAACTGCATTTCTCCTTTCGTGCCCTGTAGCAGCGACTCTAGTAGCAGTTCCAGTGACGAATCTCCAGCCCGTTCAGTTCAGTCAACGGCTGTTCCTGCCCCCACCTCCCAGTTGCTTCCACCTCTGGAGAAAGACGAACCCCGCAAAAGTTTCGGGATTAAGGTCCAGAATCTTCCTGTGCGTTCTACAGGTAAGTCCCACGCAGCTTCCCTGCACCGCAGTGGCCGTTCCACCCAGCCGTGCCGAGGCTGACGAGAACACTCTGCCAGAACACGTAAAGCCGGTTGAATGAGACACCACCTTTATAATTACATTATTGGTTCCTCTGACCTACATTTTTGAAAATAGGTTATTTTAATTTTTTATTTTTACTGAAACGGCTCTTGGATAGACTAGCTCCTCCCTCCGCACATTGTAATAGAGATTTTAGCCCCGAGGAAACCCAGGCACGTTATTTGCTCATCAGAGAGAAGGAGTTGTGGCTATGAGACAGGGACGCCTTTCCTTTGACCAACACAGATATTTTGGCTTCTTTCTTTCCTTCCGGGAATGGGGAGGGTTCTCTGTGCCTTCTTTTTCATTTCTACGCCTCCCAGCCAGAAGAGAGTAGGTATGGGCTCCAAGAAAGGAGAGGAGCAGGGAGTAGGTGCTTGATGCAGCCATGCCAGCCAGGAGTGTGAGTCCATTGTGTTCTTGCTATATTAATTATGGATGTAAAAAGATACAATGCCAACAGAAGCTTCAAGCTTAAAGAACCTCTGTGGATTCCAGAGATGACCGTGCCTTCTTTTGATTTGCTCCTTGTGGTGTAGACACCAGCCTCAAAGATGGGCTGTTCCATGAATTCAAGAAGTACGGGAAGGTGACTTCTGTCCAGATTCACGGGGCCTCTGAAGAGCGATACGGACTGGTCTTCTTCCGGCAGCAGGAGGATCAGGAGAAGGCCCTAAACGCCTCCAAAGGAAAGCTCTTTTTTGGCATGCAGATTGAAGTGACTGCTTGGATAGGGCCAGGTGAGCCCCTCAGAAACGCCTTCTTTTTTTAAAAAAAAAAAAAACAAGTTTTATTGGTTTTTAAAGACAAACAAAAACAAACAAAACATAAAAACATCCAACTTTCTTTCATAAATATACAAGCAGTGTGTCGGTTGGTTTACAAATTTTTTGTGCATCCATTTCATAGTCTCAATTACAGTTACATTGCATAATAACTCATATTATCAATCAAAAATTGAATACCCTAGTATCACTATTAATCAGTCATTTGACTATAATTTTGTTCATTCATACTTTGCGAGATAACTATAATTTACTTAGTTTATTTTATAACAATTCATATAATCGTCCCCAAATCTATCCTAAAAACATTTTATAAATATAACAAAAAAAGAAATACATCTTTATATATTCATTATTTTCTGAAATTCTAAGTATTCTATTATTGTATTTTATTATCTAACCATTGATAGAAAAGGTCCCAAATTTTATAAAATTGTTTATCCTCTTGTTCTCTAATTTCAAATGTCAATCTACTCATTTCAGCACATTCCAATATTTTCTTAATAATTTCCTCCTGTAATGGTATTTTCTCATTTTTCCAATTTTTAGCAAATACAATCCTAGCCGCTGTTAATACATTTACAATCAAATATTTTAAATCTTTATTGTATGTATCAGGTAAAATTCCCAATAAAAAAATCTCTGGTTTCAAGTCTATAGATATAGACTAGAAAGGCCTTCTTGACTACCCATGCCTTTCTCTAGCCCAAAGATGCCTGGCTGTAGCATATCAGAACATCTTGGGTGGAATGGAGAAGATTCCAGGCCATTCCAAAGCCAGCTTAGGGCCTGAACTGTCTAAAACGTTGCTTTTCAGTCAGATTGTCAGAATTTGTCCTTCATGTGGATGCCAGAACCCTGGAGGGATCGCCCCTACCTTCTGTCTGCTTCTGCTAGCTCTGTGAAGCAGAAGCAGATGCTTGGTTGGTTATGTTTTTAGTTTGACCCGAGTCTCAGGTGCTTGTTTGGGGAAGGTGAGCAGGCATGGGACCTGCCCTTCCAGAGGTGGGGGAAAAACGAGACACCGCAGAGTGTTTTACACGTTCAGGATTCCCTATGGTCCCACTTTCATTTTATTTAGCAAAGTGCAGCCTTAGCTGGTTTTATTTCTGTATTGGCCTTCTATAATTAGAAGATCAAAAACGACGCCCAAATCATTTCTGAAGTGGTTCTATCAGCTATTTTTCCAGGTTAGTTTGCTGAGTTTTATTTCTTTGCTATGAATTTTATTTCACGTTTTCATTGTCTCTTGGGGAAACGCAGGCTACTCTAACCACTTATCTCCTGGCATCCCCGAGGGCAAAAACCTTTGGAGTGGGAAGGGGGTTAACTGACTCAAGTAACAGCTAGAAGATTCTTGGAAGCAAACATGTCTCAGAAGACACTATTTTTTGTTTCTTTTGCCCTCAGAAACTGAAAGTGAGAACGAATTCCGGCCACTGGATGAAAGGATTGATGAGTTTCACCCTAAAGCGACTAGAACTCTCTTCATTGGTAACCTTGAGAAAACCACCACGTATCATGACCTTTGTAACATTTTTCAGCGTTTTGGAGGAATAGTGGTATGTACAGGCAGTTTAGCTCTCTTTCTGCATCATGTTAGAAAAAACCTAACCCGGGACTAGATTTTATTGTTTCTTTAACACAGAAATCACAACATTCCAACCCTGAAAGTGGGCCCATGTCTTAACCATCTACATGCAGTCTTTTGAAGATAGTGACTTGAAGTGCTGCCCACCCCATGCCCAGAAACGTGCCAGGTGACCCCAGGCAGCACTTCTTACCAGAAACAATGGTGACAGTGGCTTTGCCAGAAAGAATGCTCCTCTCGTGCCCTGCCTCCTGTCACCATCCTCCATGGTGAAGCAGCAGAGGGCGAGCTCAGTAGAAGCTCAGCTGGATTTGGCCAGAGAGGTTTCCGATATATGTGAAAAGGAAAAATGGCATCAGCCAAATAAGTAGCGTTGCAACAGAACCTTTGCTGTTGTTGTGATGAAGAGAATCTTTGCAGATGTTGTGATGATACGACATTGTAAAACTCTGGGAACTTTTATGGAAAAATTGGCTGAGACCAAATTTTCTAGGAAATCCGTCGCCCTTTTTCTCTAATTGATCAAAGGCAACATGTATTCTGCTGTGAGCAGCTGTTGCCTCAGACCTTCCCTCCCTTGCTGGCACGAGGCTCTTTTTGCAATGTGTTGTCTTGAAAGTCAAGGGTGTGCCTGTGTTATTTTCTGGAAGGATAAGAGCTCAAGCTATGCCCTGCTGGATCGGATCTCTGGCTAGTTCAGCTCAGCACTCTCTTCTCACAGTAGCCCATTGGCTACACAAAGGAGCTCAGCAGATGGCCTTCAGAGGCATCGCACAGTCCTCAGGGCCAAGATCCCTGTGTCTTCCATGGCTTAATCCAACCTTTGTTTGAAGCCAACCAAGCTGGTAGCCAACATGTTTCGTGGGGGTGAATTCCAGCATTGTGCAAAAAAATAAAAAATCCATTTGTCTGGCCTGAATCTTTCAGAATTAAATTTCATTAGATAACTTCTAATATTTGGGGAAGAGGGAAATGTTTTCTCTTTATGCCCTTTGTTTACACAAAGCATAATTTTGTAACACCTGAGTCATGTCTCTTCTCACTCACCTCTGTTTGCTAACCAGGTTACCTAGTTTCAAGGCAAAATATTTGGTTTTTCTCCTGTACTGGATACTGGTGGTTGTTCCATTAGATTTTGTATGCTCTCTCTGTCCATATATAAAATATGTGGAGTATACTCAGTGCCCCTTCAGTTTCTGATAAAAAGCCACCAGGTTAGTGAAGAAAAAAAAGAGGCCATTATTTTTAGTAATCACTTACTGTCTTTAGAGCTGTGAATTGCAAAGGAGCGGAAGGTTAGAACTTTGGACTTGCTCAGCAGTGGATCAAATTGAATCGGAATAGAGCTGGAAGGGACCTTGAAGGTCTTCTAGTCAACCCCCCTGCTCAAGCAGGAGCCCCTGTGCCATTTCAGACAGGTGGCAGTCCAGTCTTTTCTCAAAAAACCGCCAGCGATCTGCACACAGCCTGCACAAAACAAACTGGTCCATAGGGAGGCATTGTTGACTCCTGGAGAGGAAGGCTCAGAGGCAGCCTCTGGAGTTTGGGCCCAATCTTCTCCACTTGAGGGAAGGAGTGTGCTGGTCCTTTTCCCCCTCTGCTTTCAGTTCAAGGAAGAATAAGTAAGCCAACAATCCAACTCTGTAACGTCTTGGGTCTCGGCGGCTCCCATCTCGAAGATTGGTGAGAGTATCCTAACTCCACAATTTAAAGTATTCATTGGTCACAAGAAGCCACTTGGCCCAAATCAGGACAAGGGAGCAGAACACGGAGAGGACTTAGGCCTAGGGGCTGCCCCAAAGAAGAAGGGGGTCAGCCTGCTCTTCAGAGCACCTGAAGGCAGGACAAGACGCAACGGATGGGAACTAATCAAGAAGAGAAGCAATCTAAAACTAAGGAGGAATTTCCCGACAGTGAGAACAATCAGTGGAACAAGTTGCCTCCGGAAGTTGAAGGTTTTGAAGAAGAGATTGGACAACCATTTGTCTGAAGTGGTATGGGGTTTTCTGCTTGAACTGGGGGGTTGGACTAGAAGACCTCCAAGGTCCCTTCCAACTCTGTTATTCTGTTAAAAGTGCAGACTGGACGGAATTTTTCCTTTTCCATAATGAGAGCTGGGTGGGCTGTTGAGCACAGGAGCAAAGAGCCTCCAGTTGTTGGTGCTAGGAGCCTCCTTTCGGCACTGCCTTCAGTGCTGCTTCCACCAGCGGTAGAAAGACATGAGGAGGAAGCAGACCTCCTGGGCATTCAGGCATAGAAAAGAAAGGGAGTGTTCACTGATAGGGCAGCCCTGGTGTGTGTGTGTGTGTGTGTGTGTGTGTGTGTGTGTGTGTGTGTGTGTTGAGGGAGCGCCCTGCCTGATCCAGCTTCCCCCACGGTGCTGCTGGACTAGAGCCTCCCTTAACGCTTTCCTTCCCCACCAGGATATCGACATTAAGAAAGTGAATGGGATTCCTCAGTATGCCTTCCTGCAGTTCTGCGATATTGCCAGTGTCTGCAAAGCCATCAAAAAGATGGATGGAGAATATCTCGGAAACAATCGCCTCAAGGTACGTGGAGGCCCTTCTAGGGCACGGCTCTGGGCGGTGCCCCGGATCGATTGACCCTGCCTCTCACTTAGAGACCTTGCTGCTCACGTCAGACTCTTGGACTCCAGTGGTTAGATTAGAGTTCTTCTGGAGGGTGTTCGGTAGGTAATCTCTCAAAGGTGCCTTTTTTTTTTTTTCCAAGAGGCAGCTGGGCTTTCTTGTTTTTTTCTTTTGAAGACGTTTCACTTCTCATCCAAGAATATTCTTCAGCTCTTCTTCAGTTTCTTGGATGAGAAGCAAAACGTTTTCAAAAGAAAAACCAAGTTTTTCAACTTGGTTGCCTCTTGAAAAAAAAGCACTTTTGGGACAACCGTGACCTGGATGACTGAGATTCTCCCTAGACATTTGGAAGGTAATGCCTTGTCACCTTTGTTTAGTGTTCATTCTTCAGTCATGGCTCCATCAAGGCACACTGTCCAATTGTTTATAATATTAACTCTTTTATTAGTTTTGTGAGTTGCCTTATGTGCCTCTGCTATTGTTACCATTGGTGTAGATTCCGCTGCATCCAGATGGAATGAAACAGTGAGCCTCACTTTTCCCGGTTCCTTTTTCTCTCCTCTTGATGGCATTTCTGGGCCACCTTGTTGGCAGGCTTGGCCTAGAGGTTAAACACTGGCTGGATGGCAAGGGGCATTTCCCATTTTTCCCCCTTTAATTGCTTTGTTTCACGGCACCGCACAGGGGAAGCTTATCCTTAATCGACTTGCTTGGGAGTGAGCTTGCCCAAATGGCATCAAAGAGAGTACGGTCGGACTTGTTGACGCTCGCCTCGGAAGCATGATTATTTCCATAATGGTTTTGTCGAAATGAGTTTAATCGTGTGTTTCTTGTCTGACCGGCTCTTTTCCACTTGGGTGTCCAGCTGGGCTTTGGGAAGAGCATGCCTACCAACTGCGTGTGGCTGGACGGACTAGCAACAAGCCTCACGGATCAGTATTTGACGCGACATTTCTGCCGCTATGGCCCTGTAGTGAAGGTAGGTGGGCCGGTCTTCCGCTGCATGAGTTTGCCTGCTTTTCTGAACCCCAACGTGGGACCTGTTTTTTTTTTTCTCTCCTTCTCTCTCGGGCTTTCGCCTGTCCCTCAAAGCAGAGGCCCCCAACCTTTTGGGCACAAAGGACCTGTTCCATGGAGAGAGATTTTTCTGTGGATCGGAGGGTCCGTCGTTTTGTGTGCTGCCTACATCCCGTGGATGGGGCTTTGCTTGTTTGCATGGACCGGTTTCTGGCGGTCCACAGATCAGGGGTTGGGGACCCCTGCCTCAAAGTGTTCTGTCATCTAGTCTGTTTGGGCATTGAGTACCACCCTGAGTTCTGTTTTCATGTCCTTTTTGGACGCTGGTCTGTGGTTCCGTCAGCAGGTTTTTGTTAGAGGTTCCTTTCTAAGTTCTACTCAAGTTCATCTTGCCTTCCGCCCAGCGGCTCCTGTAACATTGCTATCGGGCCCAGCTCAGGCTAGAAAAGCCTCTTGAACGAGCCTGTTGGATTGAAACAGAATCAGAACATTCAGGAACATTGGTGGAATTGCCACGATGATTCCCAGCTTTGTGCTTTTTTTTTTGGATAAACGCTCCAAATGCAAAGTACTGTTTAAAAACTAAAGTCCATTAAGACAACTGTGGAAGATAAGGAATTAAAAAGCAAAACGATGATACCCCAGAGAATGTTCAAAGTTCTTGTCACCCTCGCCTCTGAAACAGTTGAAAACTCTTTTGACTTCAGCTGCTTTGATGATTCCTTCCCTTTCTTCCCTCTTATTTAGTTTTTATTTTATTTTTACAGGTGGCGTTTGATCGTTTAAAAGGCATGGCTCTGGTTCTCTACAATGAGATAGAATACGCACAGGCGGCTGTCAAAGAGACCAAGGGGAGGAAAATCAGTGGAAATAAAATTAAGGTCTGCAAAATTAGCTTCTTCAAGATCCATTTTAAAAAAAATATGTAAGGGAATTTCTGTGTGGCACAGAATATTTTCTCCTAGCCATCCAGCACAAAATAATCCCAGCCAGAGTGATCATTATTTACAGCAGTCCTACAGCTGAGTTCTAATCTGCTATTGCTTTGCTCAGGTTTCCTTTCCCTCCCTTCCCCCTTTCCTCCCTTCCCCTTAGTTCCTTCCCCGCTTCCCTTCCTTGTCCCTTGTCCCTTCCCTTCCTTTTATGGACTGTGCTTATGGGGCAACCTTCTTAAGGAAAGATTAATCTTGGGCCTTGTTTTTTGCCTCAATTTTGGAATTGGTGGACGAAGGGCTGTGTGCTGCCTTTTCTCTGCTGCCAGATGAATGGGAACCAAGGTGGTCCTTGTAATGTCTCATCTCCAATCGGGAGCTGAACCTGCCAGTGAATCAGGGATGGTCCTGTGAGCCTCCTTGTACCTAGCAGCTCCAGTAGTTTGAACCTGCCCTGCGGCTTTCTTCGAACAACGGTCGTGGGAAAGCTAGGAAGTATTGTGGGATTATTGTCTTCAGTGTTTTTGCCTTCGGCCTTTTTAGCCATGGGCCTTTGAGAGCTGCCCCTTGGTTTTCTATGAATCGGAGGGCTCCTGGGCTTCTTTAGCTTTGGCACACGGAGATCATTTTCAGAAGTTGCCCCTGGGGGACATACAGAGCTTGATAACCAAACAAACACCTGGTGAGCAGATTCTGTCTGTTTCAGTGGGCCACAGGGGATGGCGCCCCTGTGGTTGCAATGAAGCAGTCCTGGATGGAACTGTGAGGCTTCCATTAACCGACAAGCTTCTATCTTCTCCAGAACAACAGACGTTCTATTTTACTAATGAGAACAGTTTGGGGTGGGGCCTGTTCCCCCCACCCCTGCATTTGGCTTTTCCTCATTATTTTCATAGTTGTTTTGGGGGGAGTAAACCTGTGTGGGAATATTTTCACATTTCACCATCTGGCAATTAGCCAAAATAGAAGGAGAACGGACTAGCTGAGCTCTTCTTACCTTTCAGGTGGATTTTGCGAACCGCGAGAGCCAGATGTCATTCTATCAGTCTATGGAGAAAACGGGTCAGGACATTCGAGACTTCTACGAAATGCTTGCAGAAAGAAGGTAATTCTTCCTCGTCACACATTGTGGCCTTTCTCCACCATTTTGGAAAGGGAAAACAATTCTCGACTGAACAGGGACGTACTTTTCTTCTCTGTGGGAAAGTGTCTGCTTTGCAGAATTTTTAATTTGTGTCACATAGCATTCTTGTTGTTGAAGAGGAAACTAATAACCTAAAATAAAATATTGGTCAGTTCAGAAGAGTTATCTATCAACTTTAAATCCAGCCTTTTCTTTCTGTTTATATATAGCAGTGATGGCAAACCTGTTTGCACGCGCATGTGCCGGCACCCACAATGCAATACAGCCCCCTCCCCTGCGCATGCGTACGCAACACCCCCGCCCCACTCCCTTACCTGCACTGTGCATGCGCGCACCTCCCAACTTATTTTCGGCCAGTTTGAGGCCATTTTCGCCCTCCTGGAGGCTCAAGGGAAGCCTCGGCAGGCTGAAAATGGGCCCGTTTCAGCAATTCCAGTATTTCCGGAAGGCCCATTTTTCAGCCTCCTGAGGCTGAAGAGGCTTCCCTCGAGCCTCCGGGGGGGCGAAAACAGCCTCAAACAGGCTGAAAATCAGCTGGGAAGCGTGCGCATGTGTATTACAGATAGGTTTGCCTGGGGCTTGCGTGCCCGCACCAACGGCTCACGCGTGCCATAGGTTTGCCATGGATATATAGCATTAATCTCCCACCCCTGCCATATTGTATTTAATTTCAGGGGAGTGGGGGAGTTGGCAGGGGAGACTGACAATTTTATTCATCAAATCAGAATAGAGATGGATAGAATAGAGACGGGACCTTGGAGGTCTTCTAGTCCAACCTCCTGCTCAAGCAGGAGACACTACACCGTTTCAGACAGGTGGTTGTACAGTCTTTCCTTAAAAACCTCCAGTGATGAAATACTTAACAACTTCTGAAGGCAACTTTGAAAGACATGGTGAAGTAGGCTCTTCTTCTCTCTCACCCCAGATAACCAGGAGGTTAAAATTGCAAGGAAATGAGTTTAGGTTGCTAGTCAGGAAGAGTGTCCTGACCGGACAAGCCTTTAGACGAATAGGCTGCCCTATTCAGCAGTAACATCTCTACCAGAGAGTGTAAAAAACAACATGGTGGGGGGGGGGTCCCTCTTTCAGGGATGCCATGATAGATCCAGCAGTGCTTAGGGGATTGGACTAGGTGGACTCTTCATACCTGGCTTCAGTTCAAGAATGGGATGAGCTCTTCTTTAAAAGCTTGCTCTTTTAAGCTGCCTTCTTTTGAATCTATGCGAACCTCAGTCAATTTGCACATGACATCCTGTGAAGTTTCAACTAACCCTTTTTTTCCCCCTTCCTGGCTTTGGCAGGGATGAAAGGAGAGGCTCCTATGACTATGCTGCGGATCGTACCTATTACGAGGCTGTCCGGACACCGGGGACGTATACAGAAGACCCTCGGAGGGAATATCCGGCTCGAGGCAGGGACTTTTACGCCGATTGGGAGCCTTACCAAGGAGACTATTATGACCCACGGTATTACGACGACCCCCGGGAATACCGAGACTACAGGGGAGACCCTTACGAGCAAGACATCAGGGAGTACAGCTACCGTCAGCGTGAGCGCAAGCGGTTTGACTCTGACCGAGAGCACGAAAGGAGGCCCTTGGAAAGGAGCCAAAGCCCCGCTCATTCCCGTCGGCCACAGAGCCCCAGCGCCTCACCTTCGCAGTCCGAGCGGCTGCAGAGCGACTCCGAGAGGCGGATCTACAGTCGCTCTTCTGAGCACAGTGGCAGCTGCAGCTCCCTTTCTCCGCCCCGCTATGACAAACTGGACAAAGGACGCCTCGAGCGATACGCCAAAAACGAAAAACCCGAAAAAGAGCGTGCTTTTGAACAAGAGCGGCCGGAGAAAGACAAGCGCCTGGTGAGGAAAGAGAAGACGGAGAAGCTTGAAAAAGAGAAGACGGAGAAGCAGAAGCGCAAGGCCAAAGTGCATTCTCCCAGCTCTCCGTCTTCGGAAACCGACCCGGAAAACGAAAGGGACCCCAGCCCTGAGAAACCGAAAGGCAGCAGCAAGCAGAGCCGGGAAAGAGCCGAGAGGGAGGGGGCTGCTAAGAACCGCCTGGATCTCATGCCGTGCGTGGTACTGACCCGAGTGAGAGAAAAGGAAGGGAAGGTCCTCGACCAGCTTCAGCTGGACAAAGTAAGAGGGAAGCTGGAGAGCGACCCCATCAAGGCCCTCTTGCCTGATCAGAAAATGCAGATTTCCCAGGTGGATCAGACCAAGTCGGACCCGCTGAAGCTCGACTCCATCAGAACCAAAGTGCCCAAAGAGAAGGTCCTGGCCAGCCATATTGAGGTGGTGGAGAAAGATGGGAAACTGAAGCCTAAGAAGCACCTGAAGGCAGATCCATCCAGTGAAGTGGCCTATCCGGTGGACCTAGAAAAGCTGGAGGCTCGCAAAAGACGTTTTGCTGAGGCAAACCTAAAATCTGACAAGCAAAAAATGGAAATCAAAAGAAGCATTCAGGAGGAGGAGGAAGGCCGGGTCTTTTTGAAGAAGCAGATTGATGTGGTGGAAACTGAAAGGAAGCCCCTGAGAAAAGAGGCCATTAAAAGGGAAACTAGGAAAATCAAGCTGGAAAGACTTATTAGCATGGCCAGTCCCAAAGACACTACAGAGCCTGCCAGCCTTTCAGTAGGCCTTGCTTCCCGGCCTGTTCTAGAGCTCCAGGTTAGGCTGGGGGAGGCAGCTGAGGCCCTTGAGATCTCCTCCAAAAAGATAAATTCCATAAAACTGCACCACAAACATGCACAGCTTTTAGATGACCAGGGAGCGGAGAGGGATGAGATTTGGAGAAACTACTGCAGTCTTCCCGAAGAAGTGTGTGACCGTAAAGGGGCCCAGGAAAAGCCTCATTCCTCAGACGTCGAAGAGAAAATTCCCATTGACATTGATCACACCCAGAGCTACCGAAAACAAATGGAGCTAAGCCGGCGGCTAAAGCAGCAAATGGAAATGGAGTCTGCCAAACACGAGAAGTTTGGCAGTCCCAAAAGGGACCTGGATGACTTTGAGCGGCGCAGTCTGGTGCATGAAGTGGGGAAGCCCCCACAAGATGTGACGGACGACTCCCCTCCAAGTAAGCGGAAGAAATCCTGCGAGGCCTTTGAGTTTGAGATCAGCACCAAGAGGGAGAGAAATTACCGAAGCTCCCGCCAGGTGAGTGAAGACTCTGAGAGAACTGCCATTTCTCCTGGCCTGAGACCTTTCCCGTTCCACGAGGAGGAGGAAGTGTTGGATTCCCCAAGGCTGATTCCTTTCAAAGACGCTAAAGAATCCCCTAGAATGGAAGAAAAGGGGCCTCCGTATTCAAATGTGCCCATGACGGAAGATGCCTTGAAATTTAACCCTTATGACTCTAGCAGGAGGGAGCAGATGGTCGAGATTGCTAAACTGAAGCTCTCCGCCTTGACTTCAGAGGAGGAATCAACCCGATGGGACTCTCACGTGAAGCAAGAACCCGGGCGGGTGGACATTAGCTTCCCAAGTAGCATCGTCAAACGGGACAGTATCCGAAAGCGATCCATCCGGGATCTGGAACCGGGGGAGGTGCCCTCCGACTCAGAGGAAGAGGGCGACTCGAAGCCCCACTCTCCTAGGCCGTCGTCTTTCCTGGAGGGCTCCAGGTTGTCTTTTTTATTACGAGACAGGGAAGAGAAACTACGTGACCGAGAGGAGCGGTTGCCGACTTCCTTAGAGAGGAATAAATTTTACTCTTTCGCTTTGGACAAGACAATCACACCAGATACAAAAGCCTTGCTCGAGAGAGCCAAGTCCCTCTCTTCGTCAAGAGAGGAAAATTGGTCTTTCCTCGACTGGGATTCAAGATTTGCTAGTTTTAGAAACAATAAGGATAAAGAGAAAGTGGACTCTGCGCCGAGGCCGATCCCTTCATGGTATATGAAAAAGAAAAAAATCAGACCAGACTCAGAAGGGAAGTTGGATGATAAGAAGGAGGATCATAAAGAAGAAGAACAGGAAAGGCAGGAGCTCTTTGCTTCCCGTTTTTTGCACAGCTCAATTTTTGAACAGGATTCTAAGCGCCTGCAGCACTTAGAAAAGAGAGACGAAGAGCTTGACTTCCTTTCGGGCAGATTGTATAGCAGACAAGCATCTCTGGATGGGACCAACAGCATCTCAGACTTCATGCCGGAACCCGTGGTTCTCTTCCACAGCAGGTTCATGGAGCTCACCCGAATGCAGCAGAAGGAAAAGGAAAAAGACCAGAAGCCCAAAGAAGCCGAAAAACAGGAAGACAAGGAAAACAGGCCCAAGACTCCTGAAGCCGGGTCTGAGCATCACGAGCCAGAGCATAAATCGCCCATTTGTGTGGGACCCTTGCCAGTTTCCCACATTCCCCCCGAACCCCTGCCTCTTTGTCCAGAGAAAGCCGGGAGTGAGAAGCCTCTCGTGGAGGGGCCTCTTCCTTTGAGGGCGGAAAAGTCCCTAGAGCCTGGGCCTGCGGTGCTCCCTGAAGGGTTCAAGGCCCTTCCGGAGGAGCTTCTGCCTGTTAAAATTGACTCTCTTGAGTACCTCGAAGTCCCTCCCTTGGCGGATCACAGCAAAGACAGTGCCCTTTCCGTGGCAGCTCCCGAGGAAGACTCCAGAGCCCTCGAAAACCATTCCTGTTTGGACACTAAACCGCCCACCCCCGGCTCTTCCTTCTCCCAAGCGCCTCTCGGGACAGACCCAGAAGCTGAACTGGGCTCGCTGCCGCACAAATTGACAGCTAAATCTGAGGTGCTGCCTGAACCTAAAGAAGACCTTTCCCCCCCAGCCATTATCGTGGAGTCTGGAGCAGGCCAGAAAGCGGAAGCCCTGGCTGAGGTCCTGCCTACCGTTTCTGATACAGAGATGGAAGCCGAGCCCCCCGTGGTAGCGAAAGACAAAAAGTTGTATAAAAACAGACGTTCGAAAACCCCTGTTCAGTCTATAGTGGCCAGTGTGGCAGAGAAACCGGCCACAAGGAAGAGTGAAAGAATCGATCGAGAGAAGCTGAAACGTTCCGCCTCCCCCCGGGGGGAAACTGTGAAGCTGCTGGAACTGAAGGTGGAAACGGAGAAGGGCTCAAGAAACGCCACTAAGTCTCCAAGTGCTGCGGTGGTGGCAGAACCAGAAAACCCGGAGCCCAGTTTGCCAGTGGGCCGAACCAGGCGCAGAAATGTGAGGTCTGTCTATGCAACCATGGGAGATCACGACCTGCCATCGTCGATTAAAGAGGCCGTGGAAGTCACCAGGCCAACCAGGAAAAGGATTGAACGAGAACCCCCAGACCCGACAACTATTCCCACTCCCCCCAGAAGAGGCCGACCTCCCAAGGCAAGGCGCAAACCCGAGGAAGAAGTGTCTCCTGTCAAGGTTGAACCAGCGCAGTCACAGGAGGCAGAAGAAGTCGAAGGGAAAGAGACAGTAGACATCCCGAAGCCGGTGGAGGGGTGGCGCTCACCCAGATCGCAGAAACTGCTCCACAGCCAGACACTGGTGGCTAAAAAGGGGAAGAACGAGCCTAAGGTAGAGGCGTCCCCGGAGCCCGAGGAGTCCCTTGATCCGCCCAGCCAAGGGCCACACATCAGCGAGAACTGTGGCAAGCTCAAGGCAGAGAAGGAGACGATCCCACAAGAGCCAAAGCGAGAGCGGAAGGAAGTGGAGATGTCTAAAAATACCTCCGAAGGCTGCCCTGTTGAAATTGTTGAAAGGAAATTTATTCCAGATAAAGCTACCAAGGCCAAAAGGGGACGGTCCAGGAGCATCAAGGCTGTCGATAAAGCATCTCTGATTAAAAGCCTAAAAAACATCGAGATCCGTCTTAACGTGGATGAAGTGAAAGGGGCGCTACGGCCCAGCGAGGAGGAAGGGGAGCTCTTGCCCCCCTTCCCAGCCAAAAGCAAAAGCCCCCTAAAAGAAGACAAACTCTCTCCACAGCTCCCAAAGAACGAGGCCGAAGACCCTCTCCAGGACACCAGGAAAGAAGCCGCCGGCGAATCGGCCCAGCCTCCCGAGGCTGACCAGCTGGCCAAGCAGATTGAACTTGAGCAGGCCGTGCAGAACATCGCCAAGCTGACGGAAGGCCCAGCGATTGCGGCCTACAAGGAACAACAGGCGGCTGAGGTGTCCGAAGTTCGCCAGGAGGAAGAAGGTGATAAGCCCGCCCACCAGGCCAGCGAAACGGAGCTGGCGGCTGCCATAGGGTCCATCATGAATGACATCGGTGCCGAGGGAGAAGGCTTTGCCGCTCCACCGACATACCCTCCTGAGCCCGAGGCAGACCTGCCCAGCGAACCCTTGGTGTTGCCTTCTGCTCGAGAGGACATGGAGCCCGAGACAGACCAGGCAGTCAGCAATATCTTAGAAGCAGAAGCTGCCTCAGGAGAAACGCCAGGCCCCGGCTCAGCTGCAGGGACGGAAAGCAAAGAAGCCGAAGTCAGCCTAAGTGAATCCTCCAATTCTGCTCAGGAGGCAGAAACCTCCCAGGAGGCGGAAGGCTCTCGGAAGGAGCGCGGACGCCAGAAGTCCACACGGCTCAGGCGCAAGCGGAGCACCAGCAAGAAAGAACTGGCGGAATTTAGGACGCTTGAGCCTGAAAGAGCCCAGAGCAAATCCCCCAGTGTCCCAGAAGCAACGGGGACCCCCGAAGGGGCCATGTCAGATGACAGCCAGGGAAAAGCCTTCCCACCGGCAGCCCCCTCCCGCCTGGTAATTCCCCAGGCAAGCATGGCTGGATCCCCAGAGGCAGCTTCGCAGGACCCCCTTACTGAGAGGGGGCCCAGTCCCTCAGATGGGTTGCTCCCCTCGGTTCCCGTGGACGAGGGAAGTCAGTGCAGATTCCGACTGAAGCCGGCAGCCGAAAGCCTTCCCGTTCCCCCTCCGGATGGCCCCCCAAGCGCACCTTTGCCCACAGTTCCCGCTGCGTCAGCAGTGAAGCTTCCCCCCGTGGTCCAGGCTGGCGTGGTCCCTCTGCATCCCAGCACCACCAAGGTGACCGAGTGGATTGTGAAGCACGAAGAGGCTCGGTCCCGCTCCACCCCACCGCCAGCTCTTCCCCCTGACACGAAAGCATCGGACATAGACCCCAATTCCAGCACTTTGCGCAAGATCCTGATGGAGCCCAAGTACGTGCCTGCCACCGGTGTGGGCGCCTCCACGCATGTCACCACAGCTATAGTTGAACCCGTGAGCGCCCCTCGTGTGGAGGAAACGCCCCCTCGCCCTCCGGCAGACGTTTCCAGGCCGGGTCTCGGAGAGAAGTCCCCCGTTCCTACTGCAAACAACGTGGAACTGCCAGTTGCAGAGGCCCCCATTTTGGCCGAGAAAGAGAAGACGGTTGCTGTCCTGACCCCCAAGGCGACTTCCGTGATCAGCAGGATGCCCCACAACATTGACCTTGAGGAGACTCCCAGGATCACCCTGGTGAAACAGGCCTCCCAGCCCCAGACGTGCCTGGTCACCGCCGTTTCCCCCAAATACAAGCAGAGGCCCAGTCCCAACGACAACAGCAGGTTCCACCCGGGCTCCATGGCTGTGATTGAGGACCGGCCGGTGGAAACGGGCTCCAGCCCAGGCCTTCGCGTCAACACTTCCGAAGGTGTGGTGCTCCTGAGCTACTCGGGACAGAAGACGGAAGGCTCCCAGAGGATCATTGCAAAAATTAGCCAGATTCCCCCAGCCAGTGCAGTGGACATTGAATTTCAGCAGTCTGTGTCCAAGTCCCAGATTAAGCAGGAGTCCCTCGTTCCCTCTCAGTCGATGCCAAAGGGCTCCCCGGCACCTGTGGGGTACGGGAGCTCCTCTACCCCGGCCTTGGTCCTGGGGGGCCAGCAGTACAACCCTTCCCCTGTGCTTCCCTCCGTCAAGCCAGAGCGCGGCAGCAGCAGCAGCAGCTCGGAAAAGTCAGATTCTGTCCAGGCAGCTGCTGCTCAGTCCTGCCCAGTGAAAGTGCTTTCCTCTCAGTCGGCCAACACTCCCTCCATCCTGGTGCATAACCAGATGGTCCTCTCTCAAACCATCGCCTCTTCCACCAAGAAGCTTCCGGATCCTACGTCTCTGAAAGGGGAGAGCAAACCCCTTCAGCCCTCCAACCTGAGCCCCGGGGTGGGTCCTCACCATCCTTCCTTGTCTGGCAAGTTGTACCCTGAAGCCAACCATGTGAGCAGCGGGCCGGGAGGTCCTGCCGACAGAGCCGTGTCTCACTTGGGGGTGGCCAAGCAGGAGCCGCTCTCCCCCCGCACCAGCGGCCACTCACCATCTCCCTTCCCGAGAGCTTGTCACCCCGGGGGCCCTGCTTCCCCAGCGTTGTCAGGGAACAACTCCATGCTGGGCCTTCAAGGCTCCCCTTGTCCAGGGATCCCCATGCCCCAGTACATCTCCAGCATGCACCCAGAGCAGTCCGTCATCATGCCCCCACACAGCGTGACCCAGACGGTGTCCCTGGGGCACCTCTCCCAGGGCGAAGTGCGCATGAACACCCCTCCGCTGCCTGGCCTTTCCTACAGCCTCCGCCCCGAGGCCCTGCACTCGCCCAGGGCCCCTCTGCAGCCGCAGCGCTCCAGCACTCCCCAGCCGGCCCCCATCAGGGAGATGGTCATGCCGCCTCTGTCTTCCCAGCACGCCTCCGAGGAAGAGATGCACTACCACCACCCGGCGTGCCGGGGCTCGGCCCCCGTGCAGTCTGACGTGCTGGTCATGCAGCCGGACTACCGTGTGCATCCAGCGGGCATCCGGCTCGACCAGTACAACGTTCCTCGCGATGTGAGAGTCATGATGCACCCGCACATGGCCGGAGTGGGCAGCGAGCATCACCCAGAGCCTCGGCAGTCCAGGACGCCGGAAGGAAGGTCCGTGAAAACGCCTCCGTCCACCAAGGCAGGCAAAGAGACGCCCAAGGCCTCCGAAGTCAAGATGGCCCACTCACCCCACAGCGAATCCCGCCTCCTCAGTGGCCAGCTCCCGGGACTGACCTTGAGCCAGCCGGTGGTCGTGCCTCACGGGGTGCAGATGATGCACCCCAGCGGGACCACCTTCCACGATTATCGGCCGGTGTACGGGGACATGCGAAGCTACCACCCAGCAGCTCAGCTTGGCCACCCTCCGTTTTCTGGGGGATCACCGATCGGGCTTCCTTCCCGGAGCATGACCCCCTCCCAGGTAAGCCCAGGGGCGGAGTTTCCTGCTTCAGTCCAAGGCCCTCGTGGGTAGGAAGGGTTGCCCTCGGTCAACGGCCAAAGCAAGATCCTGCTGTCCCAGGATAGTCACTGCTGCAGCTCACGGGGCTGCAGCTCAAGAATTCAAGCGTAAGGCAAGCACACACACACACACCCCCAGAGCAGCTAGAGTGAACAGCCCAACAGCCAGAGAAGGCGAGCGGGTTGGCTTCCTGTTCAGTCCTTGTGCACAAGTTGCTCCAAGAAGGACCAGGCGTCCCCTGCCCCTTGCCTAGGGCATCCCTAAGAGGCCATCCCCAGCTTAGCCTGGGCCGAAGGGAGGAGTGGGCAGGGAGCTGCCTTGGGGACTTGGCGGGTGGACCTTGGGCTTCTGGTTAAGGGGAGTAAGGTCGTCTTGAATCTGGTCCCGCCTAAGAGCTGGAAGGGCCAGCCTGTGCGTGGGGGGGCTTCTGTCTAACGCAACTCCTTTTGCTCCTATCTCTCAGGGTCTGCCTGAAGGGGAACATTCGCACCCCAACCAGCCAGCTCACAGCAAAACTCCTCAGATCTCCCAAGAGCCTAAAGGAGCCCAGGCCACAGGGCCAGACCCTTCCCTCCATCCAGCGGTCAATAGGCATGTCCAACAGATGGAGCCCCACTTGCTCCCGAGCCAGACCTCCTCCTACCCTTCTCCCGTCGCCACATCCGTGAAGCAGGAGCTCCCCTCTTCCCATCAGGCTCAACTTCCGAAGCTGGCCCTTTTTCCAACCACGGCTGGGCCCGGGGCAACTCCGGGACTGACCTTAGCCCGGTCCGAATCGCAGTCGGCCTTGAAGCAGGACTCTGCTGGTCACCCAGTTGCCCAAAGACCAGTGGACATGGTCCAGCTGCTGACGGTGAGCCTTGCCATCCATCTCTGGAAGGGGAGAGGGACTCCATCCCAAAGAGTTTTGTGGGGAGAATCAGGGGCCGGGAGAGGGGGGTGGATGAGATTGGGCTTTTTCAGCTCAACCACGGGGGATTAACCTTCCTGTGCTCTTCCTTTGGGTTGGCAGAAGTACCCCATTGTGTGGCAGGGGCTGCTGGCCTTGAAGAACGACACCGCAGCTGTTCAGCTGCACTTTGTTTCCGGGAACAACGTCCTGGCACACCGCTCCTTGCCAGCCCCGGAGGGCGGCCCTCCCTTGAGGATCGCCCAGCGGATGAGGCTAGAAGCCCCGCAGCTGGAAGGGGTGACCCGCCGGATGATGGTAAGAATCGAGCCCCGGGGCTGAAGCCTGCCTTCATGCTCTCTCTGTTTGGCCAAGTCTTTAGGCACCTTTCTAGGCTAGTAGTTAACGCCGGGCGGGTTTCGGTGGAAGGAATATGTGCCCAGCCCTGTACTTTCCGAAAGGAGGGCGCGAAAACCGCCCCCATAAACTCGTCGCTCTACCATGACCACATCCACCTGGGTGGATATCAGGAGAGTCCAGAGCCTCCACCTGGAGACGTGGGACTCTTGAACGAAAGCTGGAAACACTGGAGGAAGTTCAGCTTTCAGGCTCTTAGCCTCGGCCTTGGTTTCCCCTGGGTTTGCAAGGTCAGTCAGGGTGGCAGGGTATGTGTCCCTGGCTCAAAAAGGGACAGCGATAGGAAAACGAAACGCCTCTTTCCCTGACCGTCCTGAGGTTGCTCGTTTTGGGGTCAGAATGGTTCTCGGATTCTGGTCGTCTTGAGGGGGTTTCCGGGGTTGCCCGAGGGATGTGCTCCTCAGTGGCCCTGGGCCTGCGTGGTGTCTTTCAGGTGGAAAGTGACTACTGCCTGCTGCTGGCTCTGCCTTGTGGCCGAGACCAAGAGGACGTGGTGAACCAGACCGAGTCGCTCAAGGCAGCCTTTATTAGCTACCTTCAGGCCAAGCAAGCCGCCGGCATCATCAATGTTCCCAACCCCGGCTCCAACCAGGTAGGGAGAGGAGGAAAAGTGGGTGGGTGGGAAGACGACACCCTTCGGCTCCTGCATCAATGGGAAAAGATGTGTGGCCCTGGCCTGCTAGGGCATCCCGGGAAAGGGATGGGCGAAGCGGAAGACGGTTCCTTGAAACATGGCCGTCTAGGCAGGCCGAACGGAGCCAGACGTGGTTCGTCCAGGATGGCAGGTCTTTTGGGGAGCTCCGGTTCTCGGCCTTTTCTCTGAGCCAGCCACCATTCCCAATAAGGCGCCTTCTCAAAAGACGGGGATTCCCAGAACTCAGCTGGGCGAGCAGGTGCCCACCAGGAGGCAGTGGAGCTGAACTGCCCGCTGGGAAAGAGTCACTCCATGCCGTGGGATAACTTGGCCAGGACGGTGGCCCACGCCGGCCCTCGGTGTCCTGCTAGAGCACAGTCAACGGTGCCTCTTGTGCTTGCTTCCTCCCTCCCGGGTTGCTCTTTCCAGGGGCTACGTCCAGGCTTCGGGGAGTTTGACGGTTTCGTCTCTGGTTCTCTCTCTTCCAGCCTGCTTACGTTCTCCAGATCTTCCCGCCATGTGACTTCTCCGAGAGCCACCTCTCCCGCCTGGCCCCGGACCTCCTGGCCAGTATCTCCAACATCTCTCCCCACCTGATGATTGTCATTGCGGCGGTTTGAATGACTCAGCGGGAAACGGACAGTTGCCCTCCCTTGGCCCTGCGGCAGGAGGAGAGAGAGAAAGTGAACAAAGGAAGAAGGGACCGGATCCTGCCATCCTGCCGGGCCTCCGTCGAACCCTCGTGGCAGGCAGGCGGAAGTCGGGGTTGGTTCCCACGGCCTGGAATGTTTACAGATGGGCTTCGATGAAGATGGACCTTGGAGGCACCCCGGGGGCAGGCTGAGCCCAGGTGGTGGTCTCCTCCTGGGCCTGCTTTTTTTGACCGCTAACTACGAGGGAAAAAAAAATGAGGAAGAGGAGGAACCGGAACTGCCTTTGCACTAAATTTGCGACTTTGGACCTTTGCACAGTTGAAGAGTTGTTGTGGTATGCTAGATGGATGTCTCAATACACACACAGCAGCTGGCGGCGTGGACTCTGGACTGCAGGACCTTCCGCTCCAGTCTGTGGGTCAAGGAGCATTTCACGCTCTCCGGGAAACCCCCCCACCCCTTACTTCCTGCTGCCTTCCCCCGTCCCTCATCCCTGCGGTTTCCCTCCTTCCTCCTGGATGTACAGTTTACACTGAAAGCAAAACCAAGCCTAAAAAGGAGAGCTGTTTTCCCTTCTTGGTGGTATTATGCAGGACTCCGTGGGTGTGTGTATATATAAATATATATAGAGAGAGATATATATAATATTTTATAAAATATAATTATAAAATATATAATTATATTCTATAAAATATTTAAAAAAAAAACTCTAAAGAAATCTGATCCCCACAACATACTTTTTTTTTAATCTGTGCCAAAAAAAGATGTGTTTTCAAAGAAAATCTTATTTTCATACTCCGACTTTGTATTTGTCACTCATTTGTAAGTGCGCTTCATTTAGTCCTGGGCCTCCCCCCCCCCCCCCCCGGCCTCCGCTCCGCCCATGGAAGGTTTCACCCACTGTACAGACTTTTTAATCTGCCTTCTCTCTGGTCCTTCTACTCCTAAGACTTAATTTATGGAACTGTTTTCTCAGCGCAGTTTTGTTTTGTGTGTCCATTGGAATACAGACTTTTATTAAAAAAGACAAAACACCCTGGTGTTAACGGTTCTCTGCAGGAAATTGGGGTGTCTAAGGCTGCTTTCGGTAAGGCGCCGTTCACCTCTTTCTCCCTATGAAGAAGCAGCCGTGACTTCGCCCTCCCGAGGCCGCCAGGAGCCTTTTCGGGCTGGTTTTCAGGATCTGGTTGACGGAACAAAAGCCTCCTGCGTTCTTCTGGGAGACTCGACCGAAGAAGCAAAGCTAGGAAAAGCCTTGGCTGGAGAAACGGAACCCGGCCAAAGCAAGTTTTCCTTTTAAACATAGAAAATAACAGCCTTTTTTTATTTCTTCTTCTTCTCAGTATTAACACAGATGTAGTCTCTCCAATACAGAAATAATATTTTTTTTTTTTTACATCAGTTTCCATGTAGCATTCGTGGCCTTTAAATAGCGGTTTGGGAGCGATGCCGGAATGTTCAGGCGATGGGAGGAGCATTCTCTCTCGGGGTACGAGGAGCACTTCCACCACCCACCACCCCCAAGCTGCCTCCTTTGGGCATCAGTCTTGTTGGCGGGGCAGCACCTGCCATCACTCTCCAGCCGGTGGGGCCTCTGGCAAGGCTGGCGACACTTCGCTGCCATCCCGTGCCCGGAAGAGTAGCTCTCCCGACGGGATAACCTGCTCGCCGTGCCAAGCGGTGGTAGCATTGTACTGTTGGTAAAAGTCTGTGTCCGCCTGAAACATGACCAGGGCTTGGGCTGTGTGAATGCGCACGTGCTGAGCCAGGCTGTTGGCATCCAGGAACTTCTCTCCGCAGGAATCGCAGGCGTAGAGGATTTGGGTGTTGGGGTCTAGAACGGTAGGCACATGGCAGGATTTAGTTTCGGAGCCCCTCATCCGCCCCTCACTTCCCCTTCCTCCATCAAGAAGGTCCACCCAGGAAGCCAGCATCCTCTCCTCCCCCCCGGGACTAAAAGCCTTCTCTGTTTCAGAAGCGGATCCCTGGACTTTTTGCCTGGTAGGGTGCTGCCCCCCACCCCTGTGGCAGTTTTAATTTGCTTGGGAGAGGCTGCCTGGCCCCCAAAAGGGAGAGCGGCCAACGCACCTGCTTCTTGGACCTGTTTCACAGCCTTGGTGATCTCGGCCTTGAGCGCTTCCGTCTCGTCCGCTGTGACAGGAGCTGCGACGGGAACAACTAAAGGAGAGGATGTCCCAGTCAGCATTGCTCCCAGGTAAGAAGGCAGGGCTGGCTTCTCTCTCTCTCTCTCTCTCTCACTCACACACACACACACACACACACACACACACAACCGCTCAGCCCCTGGTCTGGGAAGTGGTGGGGCGAGGCAGGATACAAATCACACCACCATCCCGCCTCCCCCTTCTACAAGCCGAGAATCAATTTGGGCGTGGATGTTTCCTTGGGCAGGGATGTGGCGCAAAGGCCAAGGCCAGCCAGATGAGTGCAAAAAAAGGGAGGGGCTGCCTTTACACACCGGTGAGCTGGGTGACTGCCGTGGCGGCTAGAGCTTCCGTGGCCAGCGTCACCATCTCCTCCGAGGCCACGGTGACGATGTTGAGATCGTCGCCTTCGCTGGGCTCCAGGAGCTTCATCCCCGCTTTGCCTTGGTGGACGGTCTTGACGTGGGAGCGGAGATTATCCACCCGGTTGAAGCCGCGGCCGCACTTGTCGCACAGGAATGGCTTTTCCCCTGCGTGGAAGGGGGCAGGGACGGAGAGGGGGCTGCGTCATGAGGGAGGGGCTGAGAGGGGGCCAGGTGCGCACCTGACGCTGCCGGGCGGCTGGCTGGCTCCTCCCCCACTCACCTGTGTGGATGATGAAGTGCTTGGACAGGTCGCCCACGTTGACGAAAGCTTTGCTGCAGACGCTGCACTTGTGAGGGCGGATGTTGTCGTGGTGGCGGATGTGATTGGCCAGTTGGCTGGACTGGACAAATCTGCAAGGGAAGGTCACCGGATCTTCAAGTCAAGATCCCCTGGAAGTAAGAGCTGACAGGGCAGATCCAAGAGGGATGGGGGGGGGGGAGAAGCCAAGCTTGCAAGAGAGCCCCCTCACCTTTTGCCGCAACGTTCGCAAACGTAGGGTTTCTCCCCAGTGTGTTGGCGCACGTGGGCTATTAGAGAGCTGGCCTGGGTGAAGGCTTTCCCACAAATGATGCACTGGCAGGGCTTCTCGCCTGCGTGGGGGAGAGAGAGAGAGAGAAGAGAGAGTGCAACCCCTGTTCTTGGGCCACGGGTGCCCTCTCACCCCCGCGAGTCGTGGGTCAGCCTGGCAGAACAAGGACCCAGCGCTCACCACGCGGAAGCGCGCTTTGTCACTACACAGATGTGTGCCAGTTTTGGAGGCTAAAAGTGGTGGATTTCTGCATTTTCGGAAAAGTTCACAACCGTAAGATAATTTGGGATGCAGGCAGAGGGCTTTTGCTGGTTGAATTTTTCAGTATTACAGCATCACAAAGCAACAAAGATCAAAATGACACACACACACACACACACACACACACACATATATATATTAAAAAATCAGTCAAACCCCAAAATCAAACCTATTTCCTGTTTTACTGAATGTCTGAGAGACGAGCCAGATCCAGAGAACAAAGCTCTTTTCTGTTTTCAATGTTGTACCACAAAAATGTAAAGCATTCATTTAACAACCTGGCTACAGATACACACACACACACACATACCCTTTGTGGATCCTGAAGAAATCCCTTGACTTAAGTACTAGTCTTGGCTGCAGACGGGCCATCTATGCACCAGGGCTCTCCTGCCTTTTCCTGGCCCGCCTCCCTCCAGAGACAAGTGGGGTCCCATTGGGGAGCTCCTCCTGCCGAGACTGAAGTCCTGAAGGAACAGCTCAAGGTGCTGGGGGTGGGTGGGAACAGGGGGGCACATGCCCTGAAGCCCCAGCCTCTCTGTGGCAGAGAGGGCCCTTCTGCAGCCTCAGCTGTCGCTGCAACTGGAGTCCGCCCATACTGCCAGGCCCCAGACTCACCTGTGTGGATACGGACGTGCCGCTGGAGAGCCCCCGGGTCGGCAAACTGGCGCTGGCAGTGCACACAGATGTACGGTTTCTCTCCACTGTGGATGCGGAGATGCCGCTTCAAGTTACCTTCGGAGGAGGAAAGGCAAAGCCGCTCGAGGTTGACTACGGTGGGGAACCCACTGCTGCCACCGCCCCCATTTGGGCTCAGGCCTCCCGGGCAGCTGGCCCTTGTCTGAGCACCCTCGTACCTGAGGTCGTGAACTGCTTTCCGCACTCGCGGCACTTCAGCGGTCCATCCGCAATGTGGATCTTCAAGTGGGCTTTGAGGTTCCCCACCTAACCGGCAGTTGTGAGAAGCTGGTGGTGAGAGGTAGGCGGCCGTATCACCTTGCCCCCACTCCAAAGCAGCTGCCCCAGACCAGGGAAGGTGGTGTCCCTTGCCTTCTCCTCACCTGGTTGAACATCTTCTCGCAGTGAGGGCACTGGTGCTCCTTGTCGGTGTCGTGCGTCTCGAGATGCCGCATTTTGGAGGTGGGGTCGGAGAAGGAGCGTCCGCAGTAGTCGCACTGGTAGGGCTTCTCCCCGCTGTGCACCAGCTGGTGGCGCTTCAGGTTGCCCGAGGTGGTGAAGAGCTTCCCACAGTCCTCGCAGCGGTACCTGGCCTCCCCTGTGTGGCGCTTCTTGTGCAGGTTCAGCAGGCTGAGAAGGCGGTAACTCTTGCCGCATTCCTCGCAGCTGTAGGGCTTGAGGGGGCTGCAGGGCGGAAGAGGCGCTGCCATCGGACAGCCTTTGCAAGCACGACCACCCCGAGATCCTACAGACGACCATCCCCGAGACAGTGCCAGAGTTGGAGCCTCCTGCCCCTGGTCTCCCTCTTTGGGATGCCCTCCCCTCGCCCTCCTTCCCTGTCCGCCCTCCCACCTGTGGGTCTTCTCGTGCGCTTTGCAGGCCGCGGGGTCCGAAAAGGCCTTGCTGCATTCCCGGCAGGAGAAGGGCTTCTCTCCCGTGTGGATGCGGATATGGCGCTTGAAGTTGCCCGTGTGGGTGAACGCCTTTCCACAGTCCTTTGGAGGAAGCAAAGGCACCGTTGGCCACCCTCGCCTCCAGCACGCTGCTGCCCAGCCCACAGTGGCCTGCCCGCGAGCGCTCACCCAGTAGCCCTGACTTGAGCCCTTCCCTTCCCTGCCTGCCCAGCTGCCCCTCTACCAACCCAGCCAAGCTCAGGGTCTCCACGCCTGTTTCCACCCTTGGCCGAGCGGTTGTTGCCTCTACTGCAGGAAGAGAGAGGAGAAGACCTGGCCAGGTGCCTCCACCTGCATTGGAGGCCAAGGGCCTCCAACCTGCTGGGCTCACTCCCTTCTTGCTGGGCCGGCGGCTGTTGGCAGCAAAGGTGCCGCTGCCGTCTGCTCTCGCCAACTTTCGCCCCGCAGCTCCCACCCGAGGGGCTTTGCTCCCACCCACCACAGCAAGGATCGCACGTGCCTGATGCTTTGGGAACGGCTCTCCTGGGGCAGTTCACAGGCCTGCAGCTCACCTCACACTTGTGGGTCACGGAGCCGTACGTTTTGGATTCTGTCCTGTCACTGTATGTCCCCGAACGCAGCAGCCTGGCCTCTCCCGCGTTCTCCTGCCCAGAGTCGGTGCCTCCAGACTCAAAGTCCTCGGGGACGCTGCCGTTGGTCAGCAGGGTCGGTTCGGGCTCCTCGGCCGTCTTGCCATTGCCCTCCGCCTCGGAAGGCGGGTCTTCCTCCTCTTCGCGTCCTTCCAGCTCCACCTCCATCTCCACGGGGACTTTCAGCATTGGAAGGTCTGCGGGAGCAAGGAGGCAAGACGGGGCTCAAAGAGAAAAAGTGGCAGCGGGTTTTTCCCCCCGAGGCTGCCCTAAGGGCCACTCGGGAGCCTGACAGCCTCTTCTCTGCTAAGAAGGTCTCAAAAGACCAGCCCCAGAAAGGAAAAAGAAGCAGCCAGAATGTGACGGATTCACCACAACTCCCTCAGAACGTAAGTCAACCGCGGGGCTGCCTGCCAAGGTTGTCAGCAGCTGTGCTTTTGGATGCTTGGCACAAGATTTGCGTTTTGCACACCGCCCTTGGGCGCCTTAAGCGTGATGGATTTCTCTCTCTCTCTCTCAGTAACCTTCCATCCCTGCCTTGGTGCTCACCAGCCTCCCTGGCCTGAGCGGGGAAAGTGGAGACGGGTCTGCTCTCTTCGTGGGGGGAGAGGCCGAACTGCAGCTCCTCCGGCGGTCCCTCAGTCCCGGCGGGGAACGCTGTGCCTGCATCTGGAAAGAAGCACCAAGTTGGCAACATTTTGCGAGGCGTCAGCAGGCCAGAGGAGTCAGGGAGCAGGAAGGGGGCCAGAAGAGGAGGTTGCTTTCGGGGGCAGAGCGGGAAACCCAAGCGTTGGAGAGGTTTAGCTCGCAGGGAAATGGGAAATAAAGGTGTTTAAAAGTTATGGCCAAAGGCTTCCCTTTATGGCAACAGAACTGCCCACTCAAGCTGGGCGATGGGGAATTCGGTCGGGGCAGAGTTACCACTGTGGAATTCTCCCTGACATAATTTTCCACTTGCCACGGGTAAAGAAGAAGCGAGACATCATTTGAGATTTTTTAAGTTCTCTTGAGATTTGGGAGAAACCAGGAAGAAGAGAAAAGAGAAAAAGGTTGCTTTTCTCCAGCGCTTTTTCCCCAATAACCCTGCAACTGTGCTTCTACCTGGCCTTGGACCAGCCTCGCTCCCTTCCGCCACTATTGCCTCGTCTTTCAGGTCCTCTGCAGGATGGGCCACTTCAGCTGGCTGGAGGCTGCCAGAGGAGGTTTGCTCCTCCTGCTCCCTGGGGGCTTCCAACTCCATTTTGTGCCTGCTGTTGGTTGTTTTCTCCTGCCCTGGGATGGGGGGGGTGGGGAGAGAGAGAGAGAGGAAGCGAAGGCGACTGACCATTGAGGCCTCTCCAGCCAGAAACCCAGCAAGCCCGACAACCGGTGGCAACCTCCCCGTGTTGGAGACCAGTCCAAAGATCTGGTCCAGCTGACCATGCTTTTTTCCCCACTCAAGATCAGCAAGAGCCCAACCTTCCCATTTCCACTACACCTACAGAAAGTGGGCATCAGCAGGTTGTCAGTCTAGGATGGCCCTACCTGTTCATCATAAAAGCTAACGTTTCTGGCTCAACCTAGCTGCTCGTCTTAATAATTGGCCCCAAATTTCCAGTACATTTTAAGAAAACCAGAGTGGCCAGAACAGTCTTGGACGCATCGCATCCCCGCCACGCTTCCAACAGAACCAACTCAATGGTGCTTTGAGACCAGGAGAGTGAAATCAATCTTGCTCCCCCCCACCCCCCGCCCCCAAAGACCCAGCCTCAAGCTAGGAAATTGGGGGCAGTGGTGTATTAACTGTTAAGCAGACTAAGCAGGCTCAAAGAGGGCACCACAAAGTTGAGAATATGGCTCCGTTCGTGCAGTATGTACAAAGGAAGGGGGCACCAAGATTTGTCAGTGCTTCCTCTCCGACAGGCCCAGGGGTTGGGGTGGTCCTGGGGGCAAGAAAGGGAACCGAACCCAAGGACAGGAAAGCGCCCTACCAGCCACTGTGGGGATCTCCAGGCCAACTGGGGGCGAGAGGGCCCTCAATGTGCTGCAGGCGTGGACGACCTCCTGCATCTGAAGGAAGCTGCCCACGGCCATGACGTCCTCCACGTTCTCCGGGCTGAGGGTCAGCTTGGCCGTGTACATGAATTCCAGCACTTGCTCCAGACCTGCATAGGACACCCAACAGCCAGAAGTTGAGTGCTGGCAGCATACTGCCCATTTCCACCCCCCTCCATCCCCCTGCCAGCCTCAGGATGCTCCCAAAGCACAGGCACCACTTCTAAGGCCTGCTTTAATCAAGGCTGCTGTAAGCCTGGAGGAGAAGGGATCGGGGAGGACTCAAGGCTGGCATCCTGCTCCTCACCCAGGCCAACTCCTCCAGCTGGCCCCTCACTCTGATCTCCCCTCCCAGCACCAGGACGCTCCCAAATCTCATATCTGGGGGAGACTGGGGGACTTTTGCACCCACTGAAAGGTGCTGGGGGGGGGGGCTTAAAAGCCTAATAAAGCAGGGAGGCTTCAAGGCTGCCAGCCTCCAGTCTGATTGCCCTGGTTAGGGAGCTCCTACCTGCCGCATTGCTGATGTCCAGGTGCACCACGTCCTTCTGGTCCACGAAGAGCATCCTGAAGTATTCGCTGCAGGCCGCCAGCACCGCCTTATGGGCCTTGAAGTCGATGCCATCCACCACGAAGGTGCAGTCGCACAGCAGGCCCAGCTGCCGCTGCTGGTTCAGCTGCTCCAGGACTTGGTGGCTGTGCTGCGGGAAGTCCATGGCTGCGGAGAGAGGCATCAGGGGCGTCCGGCGCGGCTCACCGATGCTGCTCCGCCGCCGCATCCCCGCCGAGCGATCAGGCCAAGCCCGGAGCCCCTTGGCCGGCCTCTTAGCCTGGCCTACCCCGGAAGGCTGTTGTGTCGCGGGGAAGGAAGGGCCCGCGCGAAAGGCTTGCATCGCATCCCCTCCCGCATCCCCGCGCGAGGTTTCCGCCGCCCGCCCTGCCTGCCTGCCTTCCCGCCTGCCTGCCTTCCCGGCGATCGTCGGAAAGGAGACCGCGGTCGCGCCCCAACCCTTCCCGCACCCCGAGGAGCTGTCCGCGCCGCGGCTTCTTCGCCCGATCTCCGCCTGCGGACGGGCGGCGGACGGGCGGCCCCGCTCTCAGGCCCCGACCCCGGCGCTGGGCGGTCGTAGGGAGCCCGGGGGCGCTCCCCTCACTCTCGGCCCCGCACCTGCCATCCCACGAGCGTCACATCATCCCGACGGCGGCGGCGATCATGGTGACACGGAACAGACAAAGGGCGCCGCCATTTTGCGCCCGGGCGGAAGCGGCGCTAGAACGGAGGGTGCCCTCTTTCTACGGCGCGCCGCGGGCTAGACCCGTTTCCTCCCGCCCGCCTTCCTCCCCGCGCAGGCGCATTAGCCTCGCGGCCCGCCTCGAACCGAGCCGCTGCGCAGGTCCCGTCGCCATGACAACAAAAGCGCGGCTCGGCCTGAAGCCTCCGGGAAACCATCCGCCTTCTCGGCTCCCCCGGAGACCTCGGCCGCCTCGCCCTCCCTCCACCCCCCCC